CAACATTTCCAAGCAAAACCTCCTGTAGGAGAAGTATCTACCATGGAGAAAGTTTATCCCCAGAGGACATCCGCCTGGGAGCTCACCATTGCTTTGTAAAACAGTATTTGGACATATGGACAGAGAGGCACAGCCCAGGTCCTGTGTGGCCACCAGCAAAACCCCTCCAGCACTCAGGCATGGGGACCATTCATCCTGACACAACACGTACCCCCCCGAGGAATGCCGGATCCTTTGCCTCTGAGGTGGTCTCAGCCTGAATTCAACATTCCTTGCCCTCTTCATCTCAGTGGCTCTTGTGGCTTTTAACCCTTTTGCATTCCCACATCTCTCTTGCCGCCTCCACAATTACATTTTTTCTTTCCTCCATATGTTTTTCCAAACCCACTAATGCAATATTTGACTTACGCCATCCCCTCCCAGACTAACCATATATTTGTTTTCAAGATTTTCCAGCAGTCGGCTGAAGAGGTTCCAGCTCCGTTCGTGAGCATCGGGCAGTTTCTCCAATCACTTGAAGTCTCAGGGAGAGCAATCAGTGATGACGATTAGCGGTGCTCACTACGGAGCTGATGCTGAAGTGCCTCAGACCATCACCATCGCTCACCGCTCATTGTAGCCGTGAAAGTCACCAGCTGGCATCACGGAGACATCCTCCCATGAAGATAAAAATGCTCCTCCGTGACCATCTCCCCACTCAAAGCAGGAGACTCGTGCTGACCTGCTGGTGGCACAGCTTCGATGGGAACATCCTGAAGTTCAACCAGGCCAAGTGCAAGGTCTTGCACCCGGGTCACGGCAACCTCTGGCACAACTTGAGGCTGTTTCCTCTTGTCCCATCGCCTGTTCCTTGGGAGAAGAGCCCGACCCCCCCTGGCTACACCCTCCTTTCAGGGTTGTTGGAGTTGGAGAGAGCAAGAAGGTCTTCCCTCAGCCTCCTTTTCTCCAGGCTGAACACAAGAACGGGCGCTACTGCATGTTGCCTACTGGGAATGTGGCTTTCTTCCACCCTCTCACTTGACATTTCACAGATGAAGCATTTAGGTGCTAAGAAATTTTAAGGGATTTCATCAAAATGTGCATTGGGTTCGATTCTGTTCCTTGCCCAGCCGCTCTATGATCAATGTCCACTAGAGGAGAGAGCAAAATACCCTTTTGTTGCCTGTGAGCGTGGGTGAGATTATGTTGCCTTCATACATCTTTCCTGGGATGTCGTTTCCCAGGCATTTCTAGGCATTTCTTTGCCTCATTAGAGACTGTTCCCCTTTGTAGGTACTTGCTGTCTGTACCACGAAGAAGGTCTGGCATGGGGTATTAAATAGAGGTATTAAAGCAATTAATTTTCCTGGGGGCCTTGTTAATGGTGGTTCCATCCCTTCCCCGTGTCTCCATCCCTTCCCTGCAGCTCCATCCCTTCCCTGCAGCTCCATCCCTTCCCTGCAGCTCCATCCCTTCCCCGTGGCTCCATCCCTTCCCCGTGCCTCGTTGCGCTGCAGATTCCAGGGCACTAAGAGGTGGCAGCTCACCCTAACAAATTCCAGAAAGCCTGACTGCTAATTCCAAAGCCAACACTGGGAAGGAGTTGAGGACAGCAGGGTGTAGCAGGAGAGCCGGGGAGATGCAGAGCGCGGCCGCATCCTGGAAACACCGAGGTGAAGGGGAAGGGGAGGCGGGAGCCTCTGGAAGCCCATTAAATGAGGGCTTATCATCCCATTTATGTAAATCGCTTCAAATGCCTTCATTTATTAAAAGTATTAAGCCGCATTACTGTTTGCCTTCGGTCTCCTAATTTGGTTGCTAATGTCTAAGACAACTGTTGAAATTAATTTGAAATTAATGTTGCTGTGTAATTACTTAATGAATCTCACATTCGCTGCCCTTAGCTCTCAGCTGACAAAGGATCTCACCCACCGCACGTGAGAGGCTGGAACGCTGACGGGGGTTTTACAACAGTCGCTAAATTATAGTTTGCAAATATTTTACACTGATATCACACACTTCATCTTGAAGGATCTCGGCGTGTTTGAAATGTTACCTAACATTCATTCTTTCGCAAAATTCCGTCACAAAAACTTTCTGGGCATCAATCTTCTTACTTCCCTGCACGCCTTGGAATTAAATCAAATTTAGCTGCATTATTATGCAAACACAAAAGATCATACCTGCGTTAAAAGATTATTACGAGGGCTGTAAAGTCAGACGCTTAAAAGATAGGAAATGCTGGAACTGTGCAATATAAATTCCTTTTTCCATGCATATGTATTCTCATAGTCTTTAATTTTACAGTCAGATATATTTTTCTAAACTCCCCCCCTCCCTCAGGGGACTTATTAGTCCTTGTTAGTGTTCAAGAGGAAAAAAAAAACAAAACAGGGTAAGGAAAAAGAAGGTTGAGGAAAAAGCAAGCAGGGGAAGGCAGCAACTTGTGGAGTCCTTGCCTCATTCCTTACAAAAGCTGCAAAGGTTTTAATGCCTGTTCCTCCTTTTCTGGGTGGCTGGTTTGATACCCCATAAATCCTGATGGGCAGAAATGCTGAATGTGCACAGCAGGAACAAGCTAAAGAAACATTTGAACGTGCAGAGCCTCCTCTCTACTCCCCAACCCAGCGAAACGTGAGGTCCTGGGGGCTCACACAAAAATGCCTAAAATCAGCCTGTTCTTCAAGGAGGGGAAACCACCTCTCTGTCCCCCAGGGACTCTGGAAAACACCACAGAGTGTCTGCAAAGTAGGCAGAGGCTGGTGTGATGGAGACCCAAACTCACTCCTTCTGTACAGCACGGCACGGACACGGCACAATAAGGCAGGGAACAGGACACACCAGGGAATGGGACACACGGTGACCCAGGAGCAGAAAGTACAGGGAGAAGCGGTCCCTGCCCTTGTGCAAGGAAAGGGAGGGAGGCAGAGACCCCGTGGGCAAACAAGGGCTTTTCTGAGACTGAATTGAAGAACCAAAGAATGGTTAGAGTTGAAAGGGGCCCTAAAGCCACCCCCAGTGCCACCCCCTGCCCTGGGCAGGAACACCTCCCACCAGACCAGGTTGCTCCAAGCCCCCTCCAACCTGCCCTTGAACCCCTCCAGGGATGGGGCAGCCACAGCTTCTCTGGCCAACCTGGGCCAGGCTCTCACCACCCTCACAGCAAACAAGTTGACAGCTCATGTTGAGCTTCTCATCCACCAACACCCCAAAGTCCTTCTCCTCAGGGCTGCTCTCAGTCCATTCTCCACCCAACCTGTATTTGTGCTTTGCCAAACCTCCCTCCCTCCACCACATTGCTGCTCTTGTGAGGCTGTAGATCCTCCTTCCCAAATCCCAGTCCTCTCTCCCTCACCCCCGCAGTGCGTTCCCATCTCCCACATTTCATGTGTTCCACAGCTAACAGGGATTGCTGCAACACCTCCAAAAAAGACCTGTCCTAGCACCTCCAACCTAAAAAAACCTCAAGCACCCAAGCATGTGGGAAGATTATTTCCTTTGAAAGCTGTGTACCCATGAAAGTAGGGTTAATGGCCACGGGGACATCCTGGACCCATCTCAACTTCCCAACATCCATGCATTAATTCACACCAGCAGCCCCAGAATTGCACCAAACATATTTTTCCTAAACTCTCAACCCAAACCTGTGGATGTTTGCACTATTTCACACACATTTTTGCGTTTGTTCCTCGCCCAAATGTGAACCCCAGGACTTTGTGTTCTGCTGAATTGCCTGTCTGAGCCTCACAGTTCAATGTGAACAAGATTCTATGTCTAGAGGCCTTATTTTTTTTTCTTCCCCCCAAAAATAGCACAGAATAGGACAAACTCAATGCATCCAACAAAACCCAAAACATTTGGTTTTGGAGAACCGTGCTGATGGGAAGGCCTCAGTCATTACAGAGCAATCCCCACAAAGGTCAGGGAGGATCTTGCCTCCACCTGCCACACAGCAGAACCTGAATAATTCCGGGAGGGGGAAGCCCCCTCACATCTTCCATTAATAAATGTGATTATAACGTAAGATACTCTGTTATTTAGTTAACAAGGTCAAAGCATTTAATACCATTGCAGCATGTCCAACTATCACCTTTATTCTGAAAGCTGACTTTAAATAACTATTAGGTCTCTGCTTCTCTACAGCAAACTGCTGAAAGAATAAGTGTTAAATTCAAATTCCAGGAGTACATAGCTCTATTTGTCCTTTTATTATATATATATATAAAAAAATTCTTTTTAAATTTGCAATCTTGGCCTAGACTTCCAGGATGGCCGTCTCTCCCTTCGCCTCCGCGCACACCGGCTTTAACAGCTCCTTTGGGGAGGATTCATGGAATTGGTAATAGGTTCTGTAATTTCCACCTTCTGTTTCCCAGCTCAGGGAGTAATCGAATCCAGTCGCTGCTGCTCTATCTATCTGGGACCTATTTGTTGGCCCTCCATGAAACGAGTTGGAAGCTCCATTTCCGTTCTCAGCAGGCACGTTTGCACCATACAGATGAACTGCCCTAAATTGGAGGCAATTTCAGCCGAGGTTCCTAGGCTTAAATAAGCAGGAGGACAGAACTTCTCCCACCTCCAGAGAGGTCTCCTCTTTAACAGGCCGGAGAAACGACGGCAAAATGGGGGAGTCTGGATTTCTGCTGGTGTAAGATGGGTTTTAGCTTTCAAGACTATCTAACTGGCACCATCCTGAAATGACTAACAGAAATAAAACAAGTCATTACGAAAGAAAACCTTGAGGCAAAATAAGCTTTATCACTCCCCCAAACTCCTTCCTACTTCTGCCGCATTTTAATTGTAATACAGGACTATTTCGTTTCTTTCTGACATCTCCACATCCCCTATGAGAGAAATGTTCACTATTTTTGTTAACGATAAGCATTAACAAAATAAAAATGCTCATCCTTCCGTGACGGGAGCTGGTGCGACACCAGCAGCTGCTGAAAAATCATGACTAACGTTCCACAAAGGCATTTCAGAACCAAAATACATGTTACCAGCTTATTAGAGGCTGAACATAGGAGGAAGCTAAGATTAAAAACTTTATTTTTTTATACAAAACAATAATAAATCCAAGCAGATAATGAACCAAGAGTGTCTTCTCATTTGCCACCTTTTCTTCTTTTCTCCGTACAGTCAGTCCACAGTTCAATGTTAAACCACTCCATATTCAGCAAAAACTATGAGGTTTCCATCTTGTATCCATGTTTTTCTAATTCAGCTCTGTACAGAAAAAAGACAGGGGGATTAAAACACACTGATAAAATAGTCAGATATTTGAATTTTTTAAAAATTAAATATACAACACAATATACAATAATTATAGAATATGAACATGCCCTGCTGCTTTGTGGTTCACACCAATAACCTTGACCTCTATAGTTCTTCAGCTTAATATCTTAGATCACCAGAAGTGACTTTAAGTGAAAAATTCAAATTCTTGCTTTAACCACAGTTGTTAGACTCTGACCCACTGCGGCTGGAGTACAACTATACAGGGCAAAGCAGCACCTCTGAGTCTGCAACAAACTCCAGACACATAATAAAAACAAAATATTATCTTATACCAGTTATTCTAAACCAACTGAGCTCAGTGATCTGAGCTATTTAAATGCACATACTTCCAAAACAATTTTAGTTTACATATATCATAGCTGAATTTTAGAAGCGGAGGACTGCAGCGCCTTGGAAAGATGAAATAAAAACATGCTGCAACCAAGCAACATCCCAAACTGTGATTTTAACACTAGTAAACAGTCACCAATACTACAAGCTGCAATTAAGACACCGTTACAGAAGGTTTGTCGAGACCAACTGTATCAAGAATTAAGCTATCCCTTGAAAGTCTGCTTCGCTCTGTGTTCTCCCATATTACAGTTTAACTGCTTTTCAACCTTATTAGAAACAACTGTGCCAAAGACTATTTTTGTATCTTTTATGTAAGACCAGAGTCCAACGAGGGAGATGAACTGTTTAACCAGGCTGCGTTACAGACAGTCTGCTCCTCATGCAACACAATGGGAGATTAATTATAAAAAGAGTGTTCGTACTGACGCTCGAAACAATTTAAATTATAATTATGCATCAGTAAAAGATTAACTGAAACTACAAGTGACACAGAGGATTAAACGAGTGGATTACAGGTATCCAAATCGCTATCATGTTTTTTTAAAGCACATTACAAACAGTTACTTTGCTGTTGTTGCTCATAAAAAGCACACTCATCACACACAAAAAGGGAACCTTAACATTAATTCAGATAACTAATCTCTGGCAAATCTGTCCATTTGGACAATAAACAGCAAAGCTATTTGAAGGTAAACAAAAAGAACTTATAACACCCCACTTTGCATAGCACACAGCACAGGAGAAATAACCTTGGATCTCTTGGCCTTTAATCTTTGCAGTACAATTCAGAATTTTCACACACACGCAGAAAAGTCCTTAGAAAAGGACTTAAATTGCAAAAGTGTCAACTGTATCACAATCTGCAGAGATCTGTGTGCTAAGTAACACCACAAGAGCCTGAATATGTCAATAATATCAAGCATATTTCAGGGATCACAGTATTATTAAAAGACAAAACATTGATCAGAACTTCAAACTGCTGTAACCCCCTCGGTCTGGTTCTGAAAAGCTTTAGAGAGAAAAGCTCAGCTCTGAGCTTTCACTTATTTCAGATCTCTATTTTTTTTAAAAGCAAGCAGATTTCACACTTTCAGAGATGAACTAAACAATGCCATTTTAAATATTTTCCCCACCTTCGAGAACAGCGAGTTAAAAATAAGATTACCTTAACTGATTGGAGAAATCATCCTCGACATTGTCATCATCCCAATTGTCTTCCCAGACGTGCGCATCTTCGTCTTCATCTAAACCAGTCCAATCTAAAGACAGGAAAAGAGGTCTAAATATTTTCTGCTGCAGTGCTTTGGTACCATCTCTTACTGACAGATGAGCTCAGCCTCTGGGTAAGGCAGACTTCAGCTGGTAAGAAATTTCCCTCTTTAACAGAAAAGTCTGGATCATGTTTAAGTGTTTGTGAGATCAAAAAGCACAAAAAGATCTTAAAAAAAAAATCCCAGAATTTCTTGCATTATAATAAAAACGACTTGGTTAAAAAAAAAAAAGCACAAAAATGGACAAGCTGTAGCACCATTGTAAAAATAAAGCAATGTTGAATATTTGAGTCCTGAAAGCTCAAGAAAAAGCGTACAATTCCAGGCTTGTATTTATTTGTTTGGATTATTTTTTTTCCTGATTAAAAAAGTAAATACATATCAAATGCTTTTGCCCCAACACATACACATCCTCAGTTCACTCGGATCAGATGCTGACAGTCTATGGATAAAGGCCAAAAACCTCTCTGTGATGCAGAAAGAAAGGTAAATTGAAAGAGGCATCTGCAAACAGCCGTTGCCACCCGTAACTACCTACTTCTGGGCTCCCAGAAGCTGTTTCCTTACAGAGGCAAGACACTAAATGTCCACTTGCTAACTTAATTTTTATTTTTCTTGGCACATCACCCTTGAGAAATTACTGATCATCCACTTAATGCTTCATTATGTAAAAAAAAATTACGATCAAACTAGTTAGTTCAGAAAAATAACGGAGACGAAAAATCAGGAAGGCTCAGAATTGCTGAGTAAATACACAGTTTACTTCACTGGGGAACACAGTTTCTCAGTTGTCCTTTACTGACAGACACCCAGTCTTTTCTAATGTTACCAAAACAAGAAGCACCTCTACACTTGTGACCTTGAATTTCTCAAAGTCTCTTAGTATATCTGAAGAGATGACACTGTTCTTCCCCTTACAACTCCGTAAGCCACCTGCTGCACATCCAGCCTAAGGGTTGGCCCTTGCATTTTCTCCTCTTTCTAACATTAGCAGGCAACAAAATTAATATTTGAGATTCACCAGGACAAGAAAATCCATTTGCGACTGATTCAAGACACATACACATAGAAGACATCACAATTAAACTTCCCTACTTAATTAATGGGAATAGATGAAGGAGCATAGAAATCCTACCGGTCCTAAGAACAGCAAAAGAAGGAAGTGGGAAGAAAAGGTGAAGCAAAAATGCAGTATAAAAAAAAAAATGCATTATTTTAATTTAGTTGTGCTGCTAGTTGCTCAAAGGGAAGTATTTTTATGTTAGAACCATCTGCAATAAGCTTTACTTATTTATATGCAATGGATTTTTTTTTCCATCAAAAAAGCTTTACCGCTTATTTATCTGGATTTCAAAGACACAAAAAAACAAAGCTCAAAACAGTTTAAAATTAAGTCAAACTTTTCTGTCTACTAACGTATGAGCAGTTGAGACAGAACTACAAGTTTGAAAAAAAAAAAAAAAAGAAAAATCCTAGTAACTGGTATCCAGGCACAACAAACAGCAGCTTCAATCATAGAAGGTCAGTTGGGGAGACTGTGAAAACACGCTCCAAAATCACACAGAGCGAAGGAGAGTCAAAAAGGCCCGTGTCATCTTCCCTACCTGGGGGTGGCAAGTGAAACAAAAGCCTAAATTATATTCTCATGGCTGTAGCTACACAATTCTACAGTACCTGTGTGGTGACACTATGCCCCAGAATCGCACACTAAAGTTGTTATTCCCAGCTACATTAGATGCTTGTGACTAAATACAAAGTAAAAAAGGATAGAGCATTACCTGGCATTGAAAGTATTAAGAGCATTCGAGAGGCTGCTACCATTAAGGATCACTTATATACACCAAAATTACAAAATCAATTTTGATGAACTTGCCATGGCTGGACTCCTTAAAGAAATATTGTAACGCACTGATCACTGATTGCCTTATTTTGCACTTGGAGAAGGAAAACAAAAAACAGTTTTTAGAGTTGAGGATAAAAGCCCTAAAATCCTATCATTTTAACACACTACATTTTACATTCTGAAAAGCACTATACAAAAAGTTCTTAAGTGACCTATTCACATACACTTGAATCTATCATGCTATACTTGAAATAAAGTGTCCTACAAAAATATGACACATCTGCTTTTGATAAAATTGATTTGATGAATTGTTTGAAGAAAAATTTTAAGTTGGAATACAAGAAATTCCCCAAAAGCCAGTGCTTTTACTCCTTTAACATAAGTTTGCATTATCTAATTTCCTTTGGATAAAAACAGAGTAACAGAACACAAAGCATTTCTGCTGGATAGGAAGTGGTGTTTTAATCTGAAAGAACAACAATTTGGCATGGTTTTGAGCACGAATTTATCGCGATTCTTTCCTAAACCCTGAAGATAACATTCAAAGCGTCTGAATGTTCCACATAACCTCTCAACACTATTATCCCACTTGACTTAAATGGGCCTCTTTAGAAGTTGTTACTTTTTTGCAAGATAGATCAGCAAGAAGCCTGATTGTAGCCACTCTTTAATAAAACTCTGTTCTAGCCAGAAAGTGTGCATAGCACTTGGTTTTAGTAGTAGTGCACGATTCAAGTAGAATTAGTGTCACCTTCTGTAATAGCAATTCAGTGCTCCGACCAGTCCAAGGCACAGAGCATGCTTCAAAGACTTCCTTCATCCCTACTGCCAATACTTAATTTACATTAAATAGGATAAACATAATTTTGCCTGTTTAGGAAGTGCGTATGGAAAAGAAGGGCTAGTCTTCTCAGTTCAGTTTATCCACCATCCCAAAGACATTAATAACTTTTTTCAACAATAAGGACAAAAATAACATTTGTAGCAGTGCTGAAGGACACAGAACTCCTAAGGATTGTAAGGCCACCAAAAAAAAAAGTTACATACAATGAAAATATGACAGGGAAGAAAAAAAAAAAACAAGCCAAAACAAAACTGACATCTCATCCGTCATGATTTATATCATTTCTCATTATCCACAGCTCGAGATGATTCCCAGAATTCAGGGCATGGAGAAAACAAACATGCCCTAACAGGGATGCTGTCAAGGCTGTATCTGTAGAAGGGGACGGGGTTGTGTTACTGAAGTCCAGATTTAACCCCCTCACCCCACACACCCGCACCTACGAGAAGCAAGCCCGCACACAAACGTTTGTGCTTCGACAGGTAAAGAGATTCGGAATAACTACAGAGCTCGTTATTTCCTTCCCACACCTTTCCCCCCCTCGCACTCCCCCGTTCCCAGCCCTCAGCCCTCCCGCAGGCGCAGCCCCTTTTCCCCGCACCATGACACAGCACCCGGGACCGCCACCCGCCCCGCACCGGGCACAGGCCGCACAGCCCCGCTCCAACCCCGACTCCGGCGGCGGCGGCTGCAGCCCCGCACCCCTCACCGGGCCGGGGGACGGAGCCCGCGGGAAGCCGCCCCGCAAGGGACGTGGGGTGCCGGTGGGGAAGCCCCACGCCGCCCTGCAGGCCCCGGGGCAGCTCTACGGGGCGAGGGCCCACTGACAAACCGCGCCCCGGCCCCGCCGCCCGTCCTCGCCTCAGCCCACCGGCCCAGGCCGCGGCCTACGGGCGGGACGGCCGGCCCCGCCGCCTCTCCTCTCCCCCGCCCCGCCTCATCCCGCTCCCGGTTCCCGTCCCCGCCCGGCACCTTCAGCCGGGAACTCCTCAAACTCGTCATCCTCCTCCAGGAGCCCCAGATCCACCGGCTGCTTCTTC